ATTGAAATTAAAATACCCTCTGCAAGTGTATCAAACTCGATATTGGGAAAATATTCATCCTGAGAACGCCCGTGGGCAGTCTGGAAAAATAGCGGATCCTTGGAAAAAAAACACAAAAAGAAAAACCCTTATGGCACTCGTCCGTTATGGCCATAAATGGGGGCAATTACCAACACTCTTAACGGTATTTAGCCGGACCAGCCCGTCCGAAATTGAAGTGAAATAAACAAAATTAATATGCTGCCACCCGCCGGGGGACTTGTGGCACGTCTAAACACAATGGACCGCCCGCCGAGGAATCCTGCACATGTTTGTGGGTGGGTGTTCGGCTTTCGACGAGGCGTTCATTCCTGTGGAGATATGTTTGTGCATGTAGTGGGCCACCTCGTTATATATTCGCCGCTTATTATTTTGCAATTGGGGCTTGGACACCAGCAATGCGCACTCATTTAATTGTTATGCATGTGCTAGTAAAGCAACGAGCAAACAATTGAGAAATGAGATTCTGCCATCAGAGCGGCGTCCTTCAAATGACCTTCCCCCGCAACGCCTTTTGTGTTGTCACTATATATAATTTCATACAGCCAGCTGAATTAATTGAATATTAAATACATAGCTAGTCCTTTTAAGGGTATCTGACAAAAAGAAAGGTAATAATATAAGCGGCGAATCCACAATTTCTTTTCGTTATGGCGTGTTTTTAGATCCAATTTCTGGTAGCTTACTTTTTACAGCCACATTTTGCAGTGAATGGAGGCTGTAACTCCGTTTAAACTGTTCGACCTTCAACCCAACCAGTTTTGACCTGTAAAAATAGCCGTTATTGGCTGGAAAGGCCGTAGAACGGCAGAGCTGAGTGCCAGGAGCAGTGGCACTTGTCTGGCCATTCATTAAGCCCCGACAACATGGCGTATCAAAAGCATAAAACTAAATATTGGCCGAATGTCAACTGGGTCGCCCCCGCGCGAGCATAAGGCTGAGAGATCTGGATCGGCACACATATCGGCGCACCGCAATGCCACACATTAACATTGAATCTCGGCCCGGCAGTGCTTAATTAAATCTCCACGGACGAGTTCATTTCACTTTATCCTTCCTGGCGGGCTGTCAAATTAGGGCTTCATGTGGCCAAATCCCCGAAAAAGCAGCGGCTGTTGCACAAGTTTGTGGTGCCGCCCCAACTAAAACTAATTTCAGCTAGATGATGTCAAGTCATTAAGTTATATTTGGTCAGCCGGGAGAAGTGGCGAGCGCCCCAGAAATAGTTAAGCTGGCCATAATAGTGGCAGTGAAGGCCCAAAGGTCAAAGGAGCAAAGTTCACTGCGCCCGTTCGCAGGACTTGTTGCACACATTCTGGGATGCCTGTTAAAATGATAAAACGGAATTGCTCGTAAACGGGGAAAAGGCATGGCAAACTACAAGGATTCTTGAAAATAAACTTTGCTAATTGGAATTCATGGGGGGCTTAGTAAATGTAATATTCAAATTTTTAACTAAGTTTGCCTATTAAAGTTTAACTTCCATCATATTATTATTATGACTAACAACTCCCATATGGTTAATGAATGACTTTTCTGCATTGCAAAGCATTGAATGCAATTAAATATATTTAGCATTTAAAACTAAGAAGCTTAAACGTATTAAACACATCATATTTTTATTTTAAAGATTCTATTTTTTTTTGAATTTGTTGGCAAGTTTACTTATTAAATTATAAAGCCGGATACTACTTCATATGGCTAATGGTTTACTCACACTCCATAAATAGATGCAAAGAGATTCTATTTTTCCTTGCTTTCGTTGGCAAGTTTACTTATTAAATTATAAAGCCGGATACTATGCCATATGGCTAATGGTTTACTCACACCCATGAATAGATGTAAATTGCTCTAGTAACTTAAAGTTAAGACGCATTCAAAGCACGACTTAACTTAAACTTATCCCCCAACAAGGTAAACCTGTCGCCAATGATGAGCATATTTGCCAATGGCCATATTTAAGACTTTCATTTTCTTTGCCTCCTGATAGCAAACAAGCGAAATGACAAAATGTCCTGAACTTGCCACTCGGCTGGCAGGAGTGTTTTAATTTGTCAACCCCTGTTTCGGGACTTGTCGCCAATCCCCTCCAAATCTCAACAGACAGGTGGAAGACCAGCTGAGTGCCTGCCTACAGCTGATTAAGCTCATTTATCAAATGTAAAGCCAGCCAGATGCCGAGTGCCCCGAGTACTTGACTCGACTTAAGGTTCTCGCAATTAAATGGCCCAAACGGAGACAGACAAATCGCCTTCGGCATTCGCACAGAACGGAAAGTTGAAGTCAATATTGATATTGATGTTGGGAATCCGAAATTCGCCTACGAATGCCCAAGGAATTAAGAAGGGGGAATGCAGGCTTGAAGGCCAAGGAATTTTGGTATTTGAAAAGTTTCGGCGCGCATCAATTTGCCAAGACAAACATATAATCGTTAAAGTTTTAATTGTACTGTGAAAATGATGTTTCGTTGCCATCTAAATTTAGATTAAACCAAGTTTGGATATATATTAACAAAGTTTGCGTTGCTCAAGAGGGTCGAATTTAATTCGAAGGGCTAATATTTTTCCAATTCTAATAAAATTAGGTGGTGAAGAATTTCCATTTAAAGAGAACTCCTTAACATTGTTTGGAACAGAAATTTTTGTATTGCCTAAAGGGACGAACAATTAATCAGGCATATTTCGTATTTTATATTTTTTAAATGTTCTACAGTTTTCTTTTGTCGATAATAATAATATGCAAATCATTCAAAGTATGATATATGTAAATATAGTACACGTAAGACTTCTGAACAAGTTTCCCTGAAGGCTTGAAGTTCCCGAAGGAAAATGGATTTCCAACTTTCATCTTTCTACTGCGCCTGACTAAAGGAATTCTCGACTGACATTTGTCAAATAGTTGGCAACTTTCTTTCACCGAGACCTTTAACTATGGGTGACAAAAACATTCCACCCTTGCTTCTTTTTTCTGTCCTCGCCAGACATCTCGTAACTATTGACGTGTTTCACTTTTTACGGCATGCGCCTCCAGGGCCTCCTCTTCTTCAATATTTCCGTCGTTGGCTTATTACATTACCAAGTTGATTTCATGGCATCCTTGTGGGGAATAGTCAGCGTTGACAGAGGCCAAAAAAATCCTTTTGGGAGGAGATCTGGGAAGTGGACACAATACCAGTGTTGATATGTTATGTTGCCATTTTTGCAGGATAGATTTTTTGTGGGCAACAAACATAAAAAACCAAATTATTTTGGACAAAATACAGGTTTAGCAAAGAACTAATTGGGATTCACAATTAGCCGTATTTTAATTGGTAGTATTTAGATTAATAATAGCAAAAAAAATCTAATTTGCGTAAGCAACCAAAATAAATAAATACTAATTTTGTCAATTTTTTTGTCTTTTATAAATCTGTCTTTTTAAATTGGCTTTCGTCAGCACTGCAGGACACCGGCCAAGTGATTGAGTCCGGCATTTGTTAAACAAATTGGTGGAGATTCTCCTAATCCATCTTACCCCACGCATCTCGGCCAGGACCTCCTGAACAAATGAACAATTTCGTGAATTAATTTGATGTCTCGGCTGATTCGCTTCTCGTTATTCAGAGACACAAAGATACATCTGTCTGCGGCCCTACCACAAAAACTTTGCATAATGGAGCGGAGTAAATGGCCTTGTCCCCTGAAATAAAATGTACGAAATTCCACAGATGTCACATGTGTAGGACAATGGCTCGAAACAAAGGATAAATGGCAGCCGAATGATTAATTTTAACTCAAGCAGCATATTTCTCTGATGATGATAACGACCATGTTGATGTCGAGTTTATCATTGCTCTAACAAACGTGGTCCAAATTGGGCGATCTATCTTGATGAAAAGTTGAAATGTTGCCATTTTATTTAGTAGAGTTTTAGTGAATTTCTCGTAATTCCTCAAATAAAAATTCACATTTTTTTACTAATAGAAACCATTTAAAAGGGATTTTTCGTGAAAAAATAAAATGCCATGTTAGGCATCGCCAAAACAGAATTTTCAGTTTACTTTATTCCCTCTGTTATTTCATAAAAAGTGAGCTTTAAAAAGTGCAACAAATATTATTTTAAAAAAGTTTAAATGAGTGGAAGTTTATTGAATTTAAACGAGTTTGTAGAATTTTATTAGTCTAAACTTATTAAGCTTTAACTAAAGAACAACTCATATTTAGGACTCAAAGCCTTTTTGGCAAATTTACCATCCACAACTAAAGAGGAACAAAGCCCTTGAATATTATACTTTTAGTTGAGTAAATAGTGAGCTCATTCGTCTGGGGAAATGCTCCTGTTGGGATCATTATACTGCTGGCCTTGCTGGTTACAAACTATTTTCGAAGAGTTGAAAGCTATTCAAGGAAAAGGAATTTATGAAATTATCATAGGTTAAACACAAACAAAATTTACAACATTGAGTGGCCCAGAAGAGGGTATGGGTATTTTCAAATTCATTCAAGTGAACAAACGAAGGCAAATCCAAAAATGCCTTTGCAAAGGGATAAGGAAACGGACAAATACCGAAATATATGGCTGGGCCGAGAATTTTTTATTTTACTTTCATTTCTGCCGCGGGTCCTTTTAGTTTCCCTTTGTCCGACTGTCTGTTTAATCGGCTAGAAGGGCTTAGATAAAACACGAAATGCCCACAGAAAGAAACTTGTCGCTAAGAGCATTTAGACTCACACACAATGCATATGCAAACAAGCTCCTGAATCAGAGTTCGATAACCGGACACCGGACCCAAACTAAAGGCCCAAACGTTTGATATTGTCGGCCAAAAAATCTGCACACGTCAGCAAATGAAAATGTGTAAATAATATTAAGTATATGAAAAATCATGACACTCAAAGCAGAATGGTATATAAAATAGACAACATTCCAATACCAACAGTTTATTTAAATTTGTCAGCAGCATTACACAAAAGGTTGATTGGTTTTCCTTTAAAAATATAAATTTATTTAATAAAAAACCAAAGGGTTATTATGTCTGCTATTTTCAAAATAAAGCAATACATTTCACAATTACAATTTAGACTTGGTCAACCAGAAACTGTCCGAATCGCACAAAAGTGGAGACGACATGAATCATGTAGACGAAGAGCATGGCCAGGGTGGAGGCCTGCAGGACATGATCTGTCTTGGCCACGTAGTTAAACCTCCGCTGGTGGACGACGGTGATCGTGAAGAGGACGAGGCTGCCCACGTAGAACAGACTGACCATCGACACATAACGCAGCATGTAGCGATTGCCGTTCAGATACACAATCACGTAGATCGAAACGACAATCACTACACAGCATAGTGTGGCGACTATCATGAATATGATGCCCGGCAGCACCTTCAGTGGCAGACACATGCCCACCACGAAGAGCAGGAGGTTCAGGAGCAGTACGATGGCCAGGACACCGCCTATCCAAGCAGTCGGCACTCGCGGCCACTGGTGGCTATTGACGAAGAACACGATCATCTCCATGATGACAATGGCCAGGATGTAGTTGCACGGACACAGGCTGGCCAGGTGCACAAAGGCCAAGGTGAGGAGGCTTCCCAGTGCCAGGAGCAGCCACACGGAGCCGGGAATCGTGGGGCTTATCAAGACGTTGAAGTCCAGCTTGAGAAGCCGCAAGGTCACCAGCTGGGCGACCGCGAGTGCCGAGAGGAGGGAGAACAGGGAATAGACCCGGATGAGGTGCCTCTTCTTCAGGTCCCAGAAGCGTCGGCTGTCCCGCGCAGCCACTGTCGATGGCATCGGGCTCAGTACCTCAAGGGATTCTGCAGGATGAGCTCTCTCCGCATCTGACTTCGGCGGAGGAGGTGGTGGTGGATTTGTAGTTGGCCTCGGAGGCGTGGGTTTTGGGGCAGGAGGAAGGGACGGCATTTGGGCAGTCTGCCGACGTTGACCCGAACGACTATGCTGGCTCATCTTCCTCCGCGGGAATGCCACCACACCCTTTCTGGGAGCCCGCTGGGTGCTATAAACATGTATATTAGATATGTATTTATGTGATTAAACAGTCGATGTGTGTACTGTGTGGGATAATTGTAATGTTAATGTCACATACAAATGTATTTATTTATTTATTAATAACTAAATAAATACCTATCTTTTAAATGGTTATTTTTATCATTCAATTGTATATCACATAAAACTTTAATTAAGAAATGGTAATAAAGGAATTTGCTTAATTAAAGGCATTTAACAAATGATTTTACCTAGCACAAATCTGACAACATTTCTTGAAACTTTTCTTTGAAACTTTTTCTTGAAACTTTTTCTTTTAATTATTTTATTTTTATTTACTCACTGCACAATGGAGCCTAACAACTCCGCCATTGCGAAAAACTACTGCCGCCGGGAAAAGTCCTCCTCCGTGCGACTCATGCATATTAAATGGGAATTACGCTGGCCGGCACTCCAGTGCTAATCAATGACACGTGCTGTGTTGTCACCACACTCGTTAAGATGACCCACCTGGCACCTGACGATGTGTTTACATATGTATTTAGCTTTGTGCGCTGCGGGGCAACTTTTTTTGGGCCATTTTGTGGCAGAGGCTTTTACTGAATTTTAATTAGACCTTGCCACTGAAAAGCCAGCACGTGCAGAAACATCGACAAACACCGCCAAAAGCCAAAGAACAAAGTCAGGAATTAAATAAACATGAGTCGGGGGAAAGTCTTAGGGGCAAAGATATTTTGGGGTGGGTATTGAACAATGTGTATGTGAATGCTTTCTTTAGAATGTACGATTGTGCCAGAGATTACCTTGCTTTGTTCGAACTCTATCTAATCCCCAATAATCGATTACAATATATCTAAGAGCTGGCTTACGCAAACACTTGGCCATATTCGATCATGGTTTCACCCAGATTACTGTCGTAATAAGCTTTGGCATTGAAAGCCCTACAAATGTCCATCAATCATCTCACAATAATAATAAGTTTTAAGAGATTTAAACGGACAGTGGCAATAGCCACAAAGCCCACAACACGAACGGCATGTCAAATGTGGCTCGGAAGTGGGCTTCAAGGAAGTCGTTTCCTACAATTAAAATGACAATCAGTTTTATTGATGCTCGAGTGAGTTGGCCTTAGCTTCCGATTGCACAACAGATTTATTGATGTGTAATGATTTGCATGAAATGTAAAACCTCTTTAGGAAAATTAAAAAAAATACTCCCAATTAAATGGAAATATTTTTTGCTAAATACAATAACAATGAAATAAATTTCAGCTACAACTAGAAAGAGGACATACCAAAAATATCACATTATAAAATTTTAATGTTTCAAATTACATTCATTTCTATCAATTGCGATTGACTACAAAGTACACGGTATATTTACAAAAGAGCCATTTTACTTCAGGCCAAAGTTCGTCAATAAAGCTTTCAACAAAATGTAATTAAATTTTAATGTCTTTCATTAGATAATATTACCTGGTCGAAATGTCGATAATTAATATACCAATTATAACGTCCCTCTCACGTTGCCATGACAAAGACTTAAATTACTAATCCGCTGGCAACAATGTATGTTGAGTGATTGAACGAATATTATTGGCAATGCTTTACACATTTGGGCATTAAAGGAAAATTATGACTCGGGAATTGCCTTGAACTATCTGAGAGTTTTATGAATAAAACTAAGCTGCTTTTGTAGCCCACAAGGTGGTGCAGAATGTTGCATACATATGCCATTTGCGGTGGGGCAAAATAATTTTCCCGCCCACCTAATGGCGAGTGTCAGCTTATGTCAAGCCAGGTCCCTTCATTTATTTGACCTCGAGGGTTAATAATAGGGTTCCCATATCAATTATTCATGGGAAAAGGTATTTTTAAAGCCATGCGAGCTAGGCAGGTGTTCTTAAATTACAGCCTACGCATGGGAAAAAACTGAGAGGCAAAAGCTTAGTAAACACTCACTGCCTTCTATTTGTAAATTTATAAACGAACAAGTCCTAAATTTATAAGAAATTGTATAAGCATTATGAGAATGGGGCCAATTAGGGTTATTTAAATAAAACAAATGGACAGTTTACGCTTACCAAGAAAGGTTAAATTTCAAACTTCTTTGGAAGCCCTTATTGTGCGATGGGGAAACATTAAAATTGCCTTTAATGGCACGTACCCACATCAAAATCGTACTGTGACTTCCCAACCGTGCGACATGCAATTGAACAAATAAATCAGCGGGCTAATAAATTTTTAGCAACGCCGGCAGGAGCTGCCTAAAGCTGAGGAAGAAATCCAGGCTTCGATAAATGCTGCCATAAATGCTACCAACTGCCAACTGCCTGATGCCGACTGAGCCATTAAGGAAGCCAAGAGAACGGAGCGAAGGACAAAGCCAGATTTCAGGCGACAAGGCAGGGAGTTTCACTTGGGTGATTTGCTGTAGCTGTTGCTATTGCCGGCTTTTTCTGATTTTTCTCTGCTGTCGCTTGCTGTAACACACGGCGTATACGTGTTGTGCCACACCATGGGTTTTCCTTCCTCAGCCTGAAAGACTCCTCCACTCTGACTTTCAGCGCACACAACAAACGATATGATTAAAGCCCATTTTTACCACCTGTTCAGGCTGTTGATTTTGTATCGGGTATTAATTGCAATTTATTTTTTATGCCGACACTCGAGAATCATGCATGCAATTAAATTATTCATGCATGAGAGCATGAGCTATTTGAAAGCTTATTTACATGTAACTGAGCGTGTGTGTTCTTTTTTACACATTTAACAGGAACAAATGTCACTCGCAGGGGAAACTCACTTTGTTCACGCACAAATCTGATATTCAATGGGTAATTAATAGCTCATGAAAGAAAACAAATTTTTAGTGTGCAAAATATTTGAAAGAGTTCTTTTTTTCATTCATAAAATAACCAAAATGTATATAAATCGGAAGTATACCATTTTTGTTGTCAGCTTCACAGTTTGTTTTAAATTCCATTCAAAAAATCAATATTTGCTTTCCAATTAAATTTGCAGACGCTAAATGTGAAAAGCTACTAGACTCTGGCAATATTGTTATTTTTAGCAAGAAGTGTGTTGCAAAATTAATGTATTACCGGGTTAATTAAAAACAATTAAATAAAACTTTGACAACAGATTGGTTTTTCTTTGTTTTAAAAACTACCAATTGATTGTGAATGTCCATTTTTCTCTTGTAAAACGTAATTAATATTATTTCGTATGTGCGATTTAAATTTAAAAAAAGAACAAGGCAATCAAGATTATACGATTCTGTGACCAGTTGTATACTTAATTGCATTCCATTGAATGGAATATTTCCAGATTGAATGGAATATTTCCACATAGAATTAGTTTTAAAATCCTAAAAAGGATGGTTACCAAAACTCATCCTTCTGTTCATAATTAAAAAATTCCTCCACGGACCGCATTAACTTTGAATTTTTCTTCTCGCTTCTCCAGGTTTTCCTTAATTATTTTCCACATTTTTCCATTTTTTCTGTGCTAAGGCCCATTACACCCAACGAAGAGTGGCAAAGGATTGTCCTTGTTATTTTCCAAGAAAATTTCAGGGCTGGTCTGCATGCAAAACGAAGAGCAAACAATGGGCAAAATACTTGTATTAAAAACTGTGAGACCGCAAAGAACAGAAAATTAAAACCATAGATTATGATTCCAGCAAGCAGTTATAGCAAAATGAGTGCATTATCTTTTCCTCGCCGTTGGTCAAACACTTTTGATGGGAACATTTCAAGCTAAATGTGCCCAGAGGAGCCTGCAAAAGTCCTTCAGCTGCTGTTCGCTTGTTGACAGCATGTCAAACTAAACAATGCCACCAAGAGCTGAACTTCACTTTTTCAGTCCTTTTTCCGGTTTCCATTCCTTTCCCCTGCGCCCACCACTTTTCCACTTCTTCCCAACGAGCTATAAAAGTGCATTTAATTGAAGGTAAAACAAATTATTTTCCAGGATCTTTCTAGGAACCAGTTGCCCTGCAAAAAAAAAAATTCTTGGAAGTTTCATATACATATCAAGTTAAAAGCAACTATTTTTGAAAAACAACAAGTCAATCGTTCGTTCAATCAAGGATTTAAGTTAGCAGCATTTTCTACGAATTGAATTGTTCAAAACTAAGTGCTGCAATAAATAGCAATCGTTTAGCCGTAATTTCAGAAGAATTTACCTATTTCATTGGATGCAACAATTAAATGTGTTTTTATAAAGCTATTTAAAGGGAGACATATAAAAGCAGAGCACGAAATACATACTATGTGTATGTCTTATCGGTGAATGTTGTAAAAAGAATTGTATGGGTGCCCTAAAAGAGGCTTCACTGTAAAACCAGCGTGAGCATGAGTGACTTAGATTTAGGGCCAGAGGCGTTTTTTTTATCCTGTGTGGGAGAGAGGATTGCGCCGTTCTTTTCTTGATTGTTGGTAGGTTCCCACATAAATTTGCCGCAAGAAGCTCATAAATTTAGCCTATTTTGCGTTATGAGTGCCTTTCAAATACAATGTGTAGGATAAAACTCACGTCAACTTCTCAGTTGACGGGGAACAGATATGATAACAACATCCTGGCAGGATCTTAATTTACCCTGCAGCTAAAAAAGATTAGGCTATTAAATTACCCAGGGGGAAGTTCTGTTCTGGTGGATGGTGAATAATAAACTCAACTAAACTACCAACTACATATTTAAAGCAAATTAAGTGCGTTGTAAATTCAAATAATTTATTTGAATGAATGGCCGGAGATAAACCTAAGTCTTAAGAAATGCCATAAAAAACAAAAGAGCTTTTCCCATGTTTATATACAAATGTTGACCATAATAAAAAGCTCGAGGACTCTCTCTTAACTTCGTTTCCCATTCGGCATTTAGTTTACCGAATAACGAATAGCAACTAACACCAGATTTGAATTTATTTTCTGGAATTTAAATTAATACTTTAAAAAAATTAAATAAAGCCTTGAAAAGAAATAGATTTGCGCCCAAGATTTAAGTTTTTTCTGTTTCGCCAAATAGTTGTTCAAAAACTTTTTATCGCCTTCAGAAAAATGCAATTGAAATGGAGAACTCAATGCAACAACTGCTAAACCAGTTACCAAGAGTAACTTTTTGTTGGTCGAACAAAGCCAGAAGTGTAGGAGTAATTGGGCAAACTATTTAGACAAGCGGATCTTTTCAAAACTCATGAGGGGTTAATTGGAAAAACAACATTGTTTATTTTCAAGATTGAATCAAAAAAGCTACCCTATTGGATTAATTATCATTTGGCTTTAAAACATATTTTCGGTTATTTCATGCACAAATTCTTTATTGCCTTAAAAATGATTTAATAGGTTCATTTCAAATACTGTCAGATAGTTACCCATTTTTATATACGATTTCACACTACACAGTCGCAGACAACTTGCAACACCCTATACGAAAAAAAATACAAAAATTAATACAAAATATAAAAACTAAAAGAAAATAGTTTCTAAAAAAGTTAAAAACTCATAAATACAGGGCCATGAAGAGAGTCCACGTGGATAATTACACCCCAAAGTACTACAGTGGGAAGTGGTCGTGGAACGACGAGAAGGACTGTCTGGAATTTGAGCCACACAACGATCTGGAGAATTCCAGGGAGCGATATATCACCACCAATGGCTACAAGTTCCTGCGGATCATCGACCAGGAGGAGGAGCTGATCTTCCGGCAGGCTTATGTCCGTGATCCTGGCACCTACGACTTCGACACGTTGGTCATTAACGATGTGCGCGACCTGGTCCTCTTTCTGATGCCCAGCGAGTTCCTAACCTACAGGTTCGTGGACTTCATGCACCGCCCGGCGGTCCACCGCCTCATCCACGCCCTGATCATCTACTTCGAGTACTTCCTGCGGATGGTGGAGTTCGTCCTGGTGCGACGCGACGAGCTGGCGGACCAGATCCAGAGCGATCAGACCATCGAGATGAAGAAGATCTTCTCAGTATATCTCAGCCAGTACCGGCTCCTGGTGGCCCGCAACTACAGTGTGATCCTGAAGGGCGAGGGCGATATGGCCCACTACTACCACCTGAAGCAGATCGTCAACATTTCGGACACGAGCCGGGACAAGATCTTCCACGAGCAGTTTCTGGCCGTGGCGACCCAGATTGTTTGGATCTGCATGCACCGGCGGGCGTACAACGTCATCGAAATGGAGATGAACCGGCTGTTCCGATCCGATCACTTCGTGATGACCCGCCCGGAGTACCTCAGCTTTACGCCGGCGGAGCGGAGTCTCCTCTACGGGCCGAACAACAAGATCGTCAACTATCGCACCCAGATCTCGCCGCTGATCCAGGAGCTGGAGCACGTGGCGGAGGAGGACATGCCCATCCTGTGGATAGGGGAGCGCAAGTACCGCGGCACCGACCTCCGCATCGCCGAGATGGAGCTGGAGTACATTGTGCCGGGGCCACAGCTGCGGATGATCGATGTGGCGCACGGCATCCTGGGTCACCCGAAGGCCCTCTACAACACCATCCTCGACCTGGACTGGCCCACCGTGCGCTACTCGAACTTCTCGCAGCAGTACGACCCGTACCACATCATCCGCCAGCCGCACCTGGACATTCCCAGGATCGACGCCATGAAGGTGCGCAAGATGAGCGAGCACTACGAGCACTTCTACAAGGTGTACCGCATCTACGAGCCGCACAGCATGCAGATCCTGAACAAGTGGCTTAAGCGGGACAAGCTCGTCCAGTTCTATCGCTCCGGCGGGCTCCTCCTCACCAACGTAAGCTCCCGCTGCGAGAAGGAGCTGGCCGAAAAGGTCCCGCCCACCAAGGTCGATCAGGTCATCGCCAACTACTACAAGGTCAAGTCCAGGCTGCGCAAGGGAAGTCCCTACCAGGCGGATAACATCAGCATCACGTCCTCACGCATCGGAGGCTTCACTTCGCCGCGCAACAAAAAAGTTACTCAGGAATACTACTTCGAATGATTTCTCCACTGGTAAAGAATTTATTTTCTGGAATTAGTATTCGGAGGTATTGGCGATAATTCAAAATTAAAATTCCGTGAATAAATTCTATACGCTAGTTATTAACAATTTGGTCCGACTTCGGAGGCTGGTTATTTTCCGAACATATAAAGTATATACATTCTCGATCAGAATTACGAGGCGAATCGATCTAGCCATGTCTGTCGGTCCATCTGTTCAAGATTTAAACGCATATTTTTAGATAATTAAACCACAATTATTTAGACACTTTTCTTCAAAGCCATTTTTTAAAAATTGGGAAAGGAGTTACATCGTGAAAATGACGAAAAATCGATCCCAAAATACAAACCAAGTTGAAAACATAGATTTTAAGAGAGAAATCCCACAATCAATTAGAAGTATGCCCCTTTGAAATCGGATGTCTGTAAAAAAAGTTATGAGCTTAGAAGTTTGAAATCGGATGTCTGAAAGAAAAGTTATGGGCTTAGAAGTGCAGGTCCTAGGCCACATTTCTGCAAAGGCATTTTTTGAACATTTAGAAAGGGGTAACTTCAATAAAAAATACCCCTTGCAAGAATATAATAAGAAGAAGATATATATTTATATATTCTATGTAATATATAAAATATATCTTAATAACATGGTAACCATTAAATTTAATACAGTAAGAATCAAGAAATAAATTACCAACAGTGTTTTCCTATCGTATTGAATAAATATGTAAAAATGTGTTTTCTGACTATCGTCAATAAACCAGAATTGTATTTTTGTTTAGGGTATACAAATAAATAAATTGCATTTACATATTTTTTTATTAAACTACAGCTATTGCATCATTGACTTAAGTTTTAAAACAGTTAAACCCTTTGGCTTACAAATAGTTTGAAGGAGGAACCTCTTGGAAGTTGAAAAAATGTTTCACATATTTTCCGAAATATTTTTTTAAGTATACTAAAATGAAATGTCGAAAATTTCCAATATGTGGAGGATATGTAAAATATGAAAACAAAATAAAAGTCAATCATATTGGAAATTAAAAAATTAAAATGGATTTACTTCTTATTTCTTAACATTAAACAAAAGTGTGTTCAACCAGAATTGATTTTTAACCATCCGTCAACCTTAGGTAATTAAACAAAATTCGAGGTCTTCTTACTAGATAATTTTCTACCAGCAAATGGAAAGCTGACTTTTTGTTCCCACTGTTTATAATGCCTAATCAGCTGATCCAGAGATAAGGTTGTCGTAGCAAATTCTTCTCACCACGTCTGCCATGTTCAGCAGTAGCTCAATAGACATTGTTCTGTTGAGAGGTGCATCTTTCGATAGGAATAATGTCCGTTCCGCCATATCGCCATTTCACCCAGATTGGGGATCCTGTGCTACGCCAAGTGGCCGAAGAAGTTCCTCCGGAGCGCATAGACACCAAGGAGATCGATCAGATCATAGACCGCATGGTGAAGGTGTTACGTCACTACGATTGCGTGGGCGTGGCAGCGCCCCAAATCGGAATACCGCTGCGCATTATCGTCATGGAATTCCGAGAGGGCAAGCAGGAGCAATTCAAACCGGAAATCTACGAAGAGCGCAAAATGTCAACTCTGCCCTTAACGGTAAGTTTCCAATAAATTGAAAAAAGGGAAAGTGTTACTTTTTAAAATGGATTTTTAAAACAAGACTTTTAAAGTGTGACTTTTAAAGTGCTATCTTTAAATCTTTTTAAGTGCACGGTGTTTTATTTCTAAAGTGCAATGCGCATCCCGTGATTTTCACACCATAAATCATTTGCTTGCAGGTCTTCATTAATCCGGAGCTGGAGATAATCAGCAGCCAAGTGAACAAACATCCCGAGGGTTGTATGAGTGTGCGGGGCTATTCCGCTAAGGTGGAGCGCTACGATAAGGTCCGCATCCGAGGGATCGGCAAGCTGGATACCCCGTCGGAAATGGAACTGGAGGGCTGGAGTGCACGGATCGCCCAGCACGAGGTGGATCACCTGAATGGAACCATCTACGTGGATCGCATGGATGTCTCTAGCTTCAACTGCGTCAGCTGGGAACAGGTCAACTCGGCCGAAGGTCGATCGGCCATTTGGTTTCATAAGTAATACAGTTTATAGACGAAATTGTGCTAACATTTCTAGAACTATAATTTTACATATTTTTTTGTCAATAAAAATATATAAAAACGTTTACATTTATAAACGTGTTTTATTAATTTTTCATTTTTTTTGAGATATCATAATAATTGTAACAAACAAATTGTTGAAAACGTTTCAGTAAGTTTTTTTCTTGTTAAAATTGTTTAAAATTTTAGAGAGATAACGAAATTTTACAAATGTACAATAATCATGATAAAATTGAAATTGTTTATTTGAATCTACATATGTAACTTTGGGCGCAAATTTCAAAACTTATTACAATCGATCTATCGATAGTCCCTAGGTGTCACATCCCTAATAAACTGCCGGTCAGCTGGCCAAAAAGAGGTTAAACAACAACCGAAGATTACACAAAATGCTGCTTAAGCAAAGGATTAAACTCTTCCAAACTTTTCTGGCACATCCTCGCCACCTTGGAACGAGTTCTCCTGCGAGTCAGTCCTTCAAGAAGTGGTACCAGAATCTGTGGACCACTGAGCGCACCAACCTGCCGCCCTATAACCACTTCACCCAGATTGGAGACCCGATCCTTAGGCAACAGGCGGCTATGGTTCCCAAGGAACACATAGACAGCCCCGAGATCGAAGCCATAGTCGAGCAGATGGTCAAAGTGCTGAGGAAATTTAATTGTGTGGGCATTGCGGCGCCCCAGATTGGAGTTTCCCTCAGGATCATTGCTATGGAATTCAAGGGACAGATCCGGAAGGAGCTGCCGGAGGCTGTGTACCAGGCACGACAAATGTCTGAGCTGCCACTGACTGTGAGATGGAGGACTTAACCTAAGAATTTAATTTATAATCTCAGCTTTTCTATCTTCATTACTTTTCAGGTTTTCATCAATCCCGTGCTGACGGTGACCAACTACTCCAAACTGAAACATCCCGAGGGCTGCATGAGTGTGCGGGGATACTCCGCCGAAGTAGAGCGCTTCGAAGAAGTGAAACTATCCGGCCTAAACCAACTAGGAACCCCCAGCGAAGTGACACTGAGTGGCTGGAATGCCAGGATAGCCCAGCACGAAATGGATCACTTGGAAGGAAAGCTGTACACCGACCACATGGATCGCTCCACATTTGCGTGCACCTGCTGGGAGGCGGTCAACACAAAATCCGGACGTGTGGAGATACCCTTTTACAAGTAGTTAAGGATTGGCTTTGTATGTATATATTGATTGAATGGAAGTCTATCTATCGTTCACAACTCTCCCTCTCGGCTGGCCTTCGTCCATGGTTTTGGTGGGTGCACACGTCCGCAGGTTGTGGATGGCCATTCCCAGCGCCGCCTTGGCCTTGAAGTACTCCGGACTGTCCCACAGATCGCGCTTGTCCATCATGTAGGTGAACAGTTCGTCGTACTCGCGCTTCAGCAGACGATGCGACGCAGCCGTCTTCAAACGTAGTACCTCAACTAGCTGGGAGAGCATCTGCTGGGCCTCGCCCTTATGATTCTCCTCCGCCTTTCCGAGAACGGCGCTCAGCTTGCGCAAGTCATTCCACTGCTGCTTCAAGCTCTTGCCCAGATAGTTGAGCACTGCAGTGCGCAGGATAAACTGCCGTATGACCGGGTGGGCCATGGTGCGTCGGAACATGCTGGAACACACGACGAAAAACTTCGCCGGTCACCACCTATCCAAGTGGTTTATAAGACAAAACTAAGGGATTATCTTGTATTTAATGATTGACAGGAAATATCATGGTATATGTGGCTTCTTGCCCACTTGTGTGGAAATACCTTGAGTTCCCACAGTACCTAAACTTCTGTCAAATATGGCTCAGAAAACATTTGGATCTTATACATCACAACTCAAAGTATAGACCTAACATCAACACCGACTCTTCCAACAGTTGACAAGCCAGAAACCTTCGTTATGAAGCGCGTTCATGTGGACAACTACGCCCCAAAGTACTTTAGCGGCAAGTGGTCATGGGATTCGGAGAAAGACTGCCTCCACTTCGAGGCGCACAACGATCTGGAGAACGCTAGGGAGCGTTTCATCACCACCAACGGCTACAAGTTCCTGCGCACCATGGACCAGGAGGAAGAGCTCATCTTTCGGCAGGAATATGTGCGAGCGAAAACCAACAACAGTGACACGGTGGTGGTCCGGGATATTAGAGATTTGGTGCTCTACCTGATGCCCCAAGAGTTTCTAACGTACAAGTTCGTTGATTTTATGCACCAGCCGGAGGTGCATTCCTTGATCCACGCCTTGATAATCTACTTCGAGTACTATTTGCGGATGGTCGAGTTTGTGCTGATTCGTCGCGATGAACTTTCTGGCCTGTTGGCCCAAGTCCAGAGCGCGCAGACCAATGAGATGAAGCAGACCTTCTCCGTCTACTTGAGCCAGTACCGAATGCTCGTGGCCCGCAACTACTGCCGCATCATCGGGGGCGAGGGCAGTATGTCAAAGTTCTATCACATGAAGCCGATATCCAACATTTCAGCCACGATCCACGACAAATACTTCCACGAGCATTTCTTGGCCGTAGTCATCCAAATAATCTGGATCTGCATGCATCGCAGGGCGTACTTTGTAATCGAAATGGAGATGAATCGTCTGTTCCGCTCAGAGCACTTCGTTTCTGCCCATCCCCAGTATCTCAGCTTTACGCCGGCGGAGCGCAGCCTTCTCTACGGCAGGAACAGCAAGAATTATAATTATCGAATTCAGGAATCGCCTCTGATCCAGGAGCTGAAGCTGGTTCCGGAGGAGGATCTACCCATTCTGTGGATAGGGGAGCGCAAGTACAGGGGCTCCGACATCCGCATTGCCGAGATGGAGCTCGAGTATATAGTGCCTGGATCACAGCTGTCTTTAATTGATGTATCTCACGGCATCCTGGGACACCCGAAGAAGCTTTACAACACGCTTCTAAACCTGGATTGGCCGGCTGTGCGATACTCCAACTTTTCTGAACAGTACGACCCATACCACATCATCAGGCGACCTCACCTAGCTGTTCCTAAAATGGATGAACTCAAGATGCGGCAGATGTCGGAGAGCTATGAACACTTTTACCAGATTATGAAAGTTTTTGAGCCCTTCACTCACCAGCAAGTTTGCAAGTGGGTCAAACGAGACATCCACATCCTGTTCTTCAAGTCGGGCGGCTTGCTCACGAATGTAGTCTCTCGCTGCGAAAAAGAGCTGGCCAGCGAATCTAAGGGACCGAGGGTTGATCAGATCATCTCTAATTATTTTAAAATTATGTCCAAGATACGCAAGGATGATAAAGATGCAGATAGAGACAGCATTACAACAACGCGCGGTGGAAGTGTCGCATCGCGCTACAGCTTTAAGGCGTCGAGAAAAACTTTATAGTTTCATACCACAGTTGCGAAAATTTGTATCCGTCCAATTGTACCATTTCCATGACTATCTGAGAATATATTTAAGCAATCATAGGCATGAGGCTTCTCATACCTCGTTTATATCAGCATCAACTTGATTACAATTATTTGTTAAAACATTTTTAGAAAAATATACCGTTAGTCGTTATTCAGTTATGTATAAGAGGCCGATTCTAGATTTTGCACTTTTGTTCAATAGCGGCATTTACATGACGCTAATAAAAGACTTAAGAAGAAGAATCAATCTGAGATGGGCCATACAAATCTAAGAAGTTACAATTCTACCACACTTTTTATACCCTTGCAGAGGGTATTATAATTTCAGTCAAAAGTTTGCATCGCAGTGAAGGAGACATTTCCGACCCTATAAAGTATATATTCCGTTTCTACGCAAACTAGTCCCTCAGTTTTAAAGCTATCTGCTTGAAACTTTCCCAAAAGTTGTCTTTCTATTGCAGGTAGTATATCACTCGGAACGAACCGGATCGGGCGACTATATTATATAGCTGCCATATAACTGAACGATCGCAAATGCCATAACTTTGGTGTTTTTAAAGTTAGGAAGTTGGGATTTTCTATGAGTTTTATTTTTTGGGCCAATCAATCCGACCTACTAAATTTTATAAGGATCGGCCGACTATATCCTATAGCCGCCATATAACTGATTGATCGGAAATGCCATAACTTTGGTGTTCGTAATGTTAGGAAGTTGGGATATTCTATGGGTTTTATTTTTGGCTAATGAATCCGACCTATCAAATTTCATAAGGATCGGCCGACTATATCCTATAGCTGCCATATAACTGAACGACTGGAAATGCCATAACTTTTGTGTTTTTAAAGTTAGGAAGTTGGGATTTTTTATTGGTTTTATTTTTGGCCTGTTTAATTTACAGTATATTCTGCAAGGTTATATCAACTTCGGCTCCGCCCGAAGCTAGCTTTCCTTTCTTGTTAAACATTGTATACAAATTTTATATTATGACAAAAATGATTATATAATCGTGTTAACAAGCATTTTCAAGCTATCAACAACAACAATATGTATGTACTTCAATAAGAACTTTTATCATGTATCTTTAATAAAAAATATGTGTCTTAAAAAATTCGCGGTTCCGCAATCCGTCAAAAATGCATTTTTAACTTATTTCTATATCAATTTTTATACAAGTTAAAACAAATGATTTGTTAATATTTTGAAATTTGGATGAGTAAATGCCTTTGGAATTAGAGGGAATGTTGTGTAGATTAAAAAAGACCCTCGATTTGTCCGGTTTCGGTGTTCAGATCAATGTCGTATATGGCCGGACGTGTGGGAAGACCCGGCATTTTGGTGACCTCTCCGCACATGGCGACCACAAAACCGGCTCCTGCGGACACGTATACGTCTTCCACGTCCAGGGTAAAGTCCTTGGGGGCGCCCTTGATCTTGGCATCTCCCGTGAATGAGCCCGAGACCTTGGACATGCAGATAGGTAGGTTGCCAAAGCCCTGGTAATTTACAGAAATAATAATTATTTTTAATAAATAAAAACCATTTCGTAAGACAAATTATATTTACCGCCTCGGTTAGCCGCTTGACCTTCTCCTCGGCCGCCGGCGAGAGCACCACCTTTCCAGCGCCGTACATCGTCTTGGCGATCTTGTTCATCTTGTCCAGCAGCGGAAGCTCCAGATCGTACAGCAGACGGAACTGGTTGCCCTGCTCACAGGCCTTGATCACTGCATCGGCCAGTTCCACTGCTCCGGCTCCACCGTCCGCCCAATGTGTGGCGACCACGGCTGCGAAGGCTCCCGCCTCCAGAGCCGCCTTCTTGACCAGCTCATGCTCTGCTGGGGTGTCCGCTGAGTGGGCATTCAGACTCACCACCACGGGCATGCCAAAGGCCTTGCCGTTGGCGATGTGCTGCAAAAGATTGGGCAGACCCTTCTGAACCAGCTCCAGATTCTCCTCCGTGTATTGCTTATTCAAAGGGGCTCCGGGAGTGACTGGTGCTCCGCCTCCGTGCATCTTGATGGCCCTCACGGTGGCCACCAGCACCATGGCGTTGGGCTTGCGTCCGGATGTGCGACACTTAATGTTGCAGAACTTCTCCATGCCAATATCCGAACCGAATCCTGCCTCTGTACAGACAAATCCATCCTTGCCCACCAGTTTCAGACCGATTTCATCGGCGATAATGGAGTTGCAACCGTGGGCTATGTTGGCAAAGGGACCAGCATGCACCAGGACCGGAGTTCCCTCGAGGGACTGCATCAGGTTGGGCTCGAGGGCATCCTTGAGCAGAACGGCAAGGGCGCCAGTCACACCCAGGTCATCGGCGGTTACGGGTTTTCCCCGTTTGTCAAAAGCCACCACCATATCGGCCAGACGCCGCTTCATGTCCTCCAGGCAACGAGAGAGGGCCAGCACAGCCATGATCTCGCTGGCCACCGAGATGGAGAAGCGGGTCTCCCTAGAAATTCCCTTCTCGGTGGGCGATTGCCCAATGGTGATGCTGCGCAGGTACCGATCGTTGATGTCCACCACACGCTCCCACATGATGGTCTCGGGATCGATGTCCAGCCGGGCGAAGGCTCCGTACTCCTCTTCGGTCAGCGAGTCGGGATCGGTCTTGGTTATCCCCAACTTCTGGAGACGGCGCAGCTGGATGTTACTGAACTTGCGCTCCCCCTTGACCTTCGGCACCAACCTATCGTACAGAGGCTTATCCTTTTGGGTGTTCTCATGGAAGATGCGAGTGTCCAGTTGGGCGGCCAGCAAATTGTTGGCGGCAGAAACGGCATGGATGTCCCCGGTCAGATGGAGATTGAACTCTTCCATGGGGATAACCTGCGCGTAGCCTCCGCCAGCCGCTCCTCCTTTGATGCCAAAGGTTGGACCCTGGGAGGGCTGTCTCAGGGCAGCCATAGTGTTCCTCTGCTTGTGAGCTCCGAGAGCCTGGACCAAGCCCATCAGCGTGGTGGTCTTTCCCTCGCCCAAAGGCGTTGGAGTCATACCGGCCACCACCACATAGTGACCCGCTTCCTTGTCTGCCAGACGCTCCAGCACTGACAGCGAAATCTTGGCCTTCTTGTTGCCGTACAGTGAAACCTCTCGGGCGTCCAGGCCAATCTCCTTGGCCAGCACGGCAATGTCCTTTGGTTTTTGGGCACGGGCAATCACAATATCGCTGGGCACGGGGCGCAGCGGCTTCAGGGGCAGCGGTTGCAGGGTCCACTGGGTCCTAACCTGACGCTCCAGGGATCGGGCCGCCGATCGCACAGTGTTCTTCATCAGCATGGCCACCGTCATGGGTCCCACGCCGCCGGGTACGGGGGTCAGATGTCCGGCCACCTGGAGAGCCTCCTCGTAGTCCACGTCCCCCACCAACCGACTCCCACTGGCCTTACTGGCGTCTGTAAAGGATCAATAAGGCAATCAGGCAGGCTCAGATCTTGAAATGGTTTACACCGAACGGGCGCTGTTCCCTAACTAATTCTTAAGAGACAGATTTTTGAAAACAAAATCATTTCTTATCTCCGGGGGTTAGGAGTCCCAATAGGGGGTCGAATGTGTTGATAAGCGATGGAGAGCAAATCAGTGAGAAAGTGGAAATATTTCCAGGAATAGATAAGGTAATAATATAGGTTTTCAAAGTCAAAATATTAAAAAAATTTTTATACAAAACCAAATAAAAAGAATAACTCATAAAACACAAACAACAATAAGTAAACATGTGTTTTTAAAAAAGGTATATCCCAAAATATAATTATCTACTAATACATGAGTAATATGATTTCCATATGCCTCACTTCTCAACTTCAAAAGATGTCTCAATTGACAGACGAATACTGTTGTATGTTGTATCTTTATCTTTATAATCTTTCACTCACCTGACTTCACATTGATGCCGCAATCAATGACCACGGCTCCCGGCTTTATCCACGAACCCTTGACCATTTCGGCCACTCCGATCCCAACCACCAGAATGTCGGCGCTTCGTGTGATCTCCTCCAGGTTACGGGTCTTCGAGTGGCACACCGTGACCGTGGCATTGGCCCACTTGAGCAACTCGGCGGCGGGAGTGCCCACGATCTTGCTGCGACCCAGGACCACAGCCCTGGCACCAGCGATCTCTACTCCAGAGCGGCGAATGAGCTCCAGGCAGCCCCAGGGGGTGCATGGCAAAAATCCCCCAAGGTCTCCGATAGCCAGGCGACCCTCGTTCACAGTGTGCAGGCCATCGACATCCTTTTCCGGAGAAACTGCGTCCGTAATCCGATGCGAATCGATGGGACTATCGCAGTCCAGTGGCATTTGCACTATGATACCATGTACCCGCGGATCCTCGTTCAGATCGTTGATCTGCAAGCGTAAGAAGGTTACTTTTAATTATTAAGTGGCCAATAACATTAAAATTCTAATAATCTCAAAAGATTCAAATACTAATTTATTTACATATTTATAAAAAACAATTAAAATCACTTTTTCGATAAGCAATAATTCAATGCGAAAAATTATATTTTTTATAAAAAGTACATTATGTTGCATAACTCCCTTGAATCGCGTACTCACCTTATCGAGTAGTTCCACCTCGGTGATGGATCGGGGTAACTGGACGTGGGCGGCATCGATGCCGATCTCGGTGGCAGCCTTGATCTTCATGCGAATGTAGACATTGGAGTCCTCCCGTCCTCCAACCTGAACGATCCTCAAGCCGGGCACAAAGTTCGCCAGTTGCTTGCCCATACCCGCCACCTCGTTTCGCAGCTCTTCGCGAATGGATCTGTCATGGGAATAGGATAGGGTAAAGCAGGGATCTGCCATCCGTAAATTCTTCCCACTCACTTGGCCACCGCCGTGCCCGATATGATCTTCGCCTCGCTCATCTTGACCGCCGGCTCTGCTCTCCACTCTTCGCTGAAAAAACGTAAGCCCTTAAAAAATGTTAGCCCGGTAACCCGAAAATTCCGCCTCACTAGCCACGCCAACTCGGCTCGCGCAATGCAACTGAACGGAGCGTTTCATGGGTGCTCCTATCTATAGCCTACATAGGTGCTCTGCTCCGTTCCGCTCCGCCCCTCCCAATTTTTTAATCCCGCTCCC